ATAGAAGGGAGAAACGTGTCCCGAGGGTCCTTAGGAGTGGGTCCTCCCGGGACCTCGACCGTGCCCCGCACTCCTACACCCCTGCAGACTTCCTCGTGCCCCAGAGCACCCTGGCCACCTGCACTGGCCCCACGACTGATGCAGGACCGCTTCCCTGGGCTCTTCCCCAGACCCCGCACGGCCGCAGGGGGGTGGGGGGGCGTCCATGCCTGGAATGGGCCCCGGACCTGCCACCACCATCCGGTGCCTTTCTCTCCTCACCTCTGTCTGCGCCACACAGACCCCAGTTATCTTGGCTTCCCTGCTGGAAGCAACGACCCTCCCTGCCTGCAGGGGTTTTGCTTCCAGCCCGGCTACACCCTTGGTACCTGGAATGTGCTTGGGCAGCGTGATCGCTTCCGGGTTTCATACCTGAGTGACCATCTGCCCGCAGAGCCGCCCACACCACCAGGCAGAGACAGAGGAGCCCTTGGTACCTGTGGGGGGCGGTGAGGGCTTTGGTGGAAGTTGCCCATGGGGTTACGGGAGCTGGTAGTGGGAGCAAAGCAGGGTCTTGGGGGCTTCCTGAAGGAGGGGACAGTGCTGCTGGCTGGGCTTCCAGGCTGCACTGTGGGACCGGGGTATTAGGGACGTGGGGGGAGGGGTGGGAAGGGCTAGAGGTGGGGGGGGCTGTGGCCAGGCCCAAGAGGCTCCCTAAGGGGGAGGGGGGTCAAAGTTCTCTTTCAGAGCAGTTAGTGGGTGGGGCCCAGGTGCTCTGAAATGCCCGGGGAGCTGGGGGTGGAGGGGCTCTCCCCAGACTTGCTCAGCGTGGGGACTGGAGGTGGTCGGAGCCCCCAGTCCTGGAGGCTGTCGCTGAGGGAGGCTCCGCTGGGCCTCCCTGAACACGGGTAAACTGAGGCTTCTTAAAATCACGGAGCCGGAAGGACCTCCAAGGCTGGTAGTTGTTGGCCTTCCGGAACCCTGGAACTGAGATCCTCTGTGCATCCTGTGAGAATGTCACACACGCTTGTCCCGTCCCGTGTCACCTATGTCGTTAACGTGTTTCCAGCGGAACGGCTACCTTTGGTTTTTCCTTTTGGTTTATTCTTAAAAGTTGGCTGGTCTTTTAATTTTGAAAGGTCACGTGTGAATATATAAAACATACAGTTAGAAGACAACGTAAGCGCAGGTGAACGTTTTAATCGTGCTAAAGGATACAAAGTGAAATCGAGTTTCTCTCCCATCCCCGGCCCGTGTCCTGTGGAGGGGTTGCCGGGGACCGTCCTCACGGCTGCCCAGGATCAGATGTGGCACATGTGGACGCACCACGGCCCACGGTGACCGCAGAGGCCCCCGAGCGGAGGTCGCTCTGCGCTGGCGGCCAGGCAGAGCAGAGGACGCGGAGTCCCGGTCTGCGCAGAAACCTTTGTTCTTACGGAAAACAAGTGCACGTCCCTCTCCCTGTCTGGTCTTGTCACGCGGGTCTCCTTTGGGCGGTGTGGGTGTCGTCTCTGTCTGCTGACGCGGGGGTCCTAGTGGAGCAGGAGCTCGGGCATTTCGGAAGCGATTGAATGCAGACCCCTCCCAGATCTTCGTTCTCCCCCGGTCCTTTGCAAGGAGCTTGCACCCGATTCGGCAGGTTGGTTTTTGCTTTTTCTCTGGTTTGTTTTTGAGCCCTTGTCTCTGTCAACTCCTTCTAAAAGTTCAACTTGGTTTTTATCAAGTAGCAACTTTCTTTTTTGCTTTAGTATTTCTCTGATTTGTGTAGTGTTAATTGGACTGTGTGGTTATGGTGACAAGTACACCTGGTGTATCTGGGAGCAGATACACCGTCCGGTTCCCCGAGAGCCTCCAGCCGGGGTGGGAGCCGCAGGGTCGGGTGCCCATGAGCACCGCCAGCCCGTCCCAGCCTTGCCCGATGTCCTGACCCCGGGTGATCCCGCTGGAGGTGTGCGGGGTTCAGGGTCCAGCACGCACCGCCGGGCCTGGGTCTGGGTGTGGCCGCTGGAGCCCGTGAGTGGTGGCAGCGCCCGAGAGTGTGGGCAGGTTGCTCCAGAGCTGGGAGTGCGGGGTTTCCTGCCACGCGCTCTGGGCTGGCTGTGGGACAGTCAGGTCGGGGACAGCCTCAGGGCAGAGACTGCTGGCATGGGACAGCCCCGGGGCTGGGGCTGGGGACCGCCCTTGGATTTCTGCAGGCACAGCCTGGAATCTCCACTTTGATCTGCTTCTGTATCTTGTCTTGCTTTTTTGAGGCCCATTGTTCTGTTCTCTTTTCTGGTGGATGTTCCCTGTGCTGTCCATGTCTGGGCATCCAGCGTGTCTCGAGGTGACAGCTATGATGCGTGGTGCCCGGTCAGGCCGTTTGTGAGTACAGTCAATATTTTCTTTCTCTTTTCCTTGCCCGTCGCTAACATACGACAGGAGCCCTAAGAAGGCAGCTCGCTGCTTCTCTGCAGCCCAGAAAGACTCAGTTCCACAAACCCCACCCTCCCCGTTCCCGTCCCCTGCGTGGCGTGCTGGGAAGGGCGTCTGCAGGGACGAGCGTCAGAGCCTGCGGTGGTTTGGGGCCTGACCAGTGGCTTAGAATGTCAGCACCACCCAAGTTAAAATTAAATTGCAGGAACATATTATCAAAGACAAATACCAAAAAACTGGGGATCTGCCTCTTTGTTGGAGCAGATAGATGGAAGTCAGTTCTCTGGGATGTAGGTGCCTTTTTTTTTTTTGAACATAATCTAAATAGATTTAGGGGTGTGAGCGGTTTTTGTGACATGGCTGAATTGCACAGAGAGGGCGTCTGGGCCCTTCATGTGCGTCACCGGCAGAGCGCGCGCCGTCCCCAGCAGCTGATTTTCCACCCCACCTCCCGGCCGTGTCTACCACGTCCGTCCGCGGCTCAGCTCCCGCTCGTGAGTGAGAACACGAGGAGTTCGGGTCTTTGTTCCTGGGCTGCTTTACTCAGGACAGGACGTAGCTTCTTCCTAAGATGTTCCCGGCTGTTTCTCCTTTACATTTGCACGTCTCCAAGCGTCAGCGATGGCGGTGGGTGTGGCCCTGCCCTCGGGAAGGCGGCGCCTGTGAGGAGGAGTCGGTGCTTCCACTCCTCTCCGGAGAAGCGGCGTAAACTCAGACGACAACTCACAGGCGGCGGCGGAAGCTTTGCTCTGCGAGAGCGTGGGCGCTGCCGCCCCACTGATCTCGTGCGTCAGCGGTCGGCTGTGCCGCTGGGGAAGGGGCCCCGAGACCCACAGCAGACTTCAGTGTGAATCGCACTGACTTGGAGGGAGAGGCGGGCGGAGTGTTGGTGTCTCTGGCAGAATTCCAGAACTGAAACCAAGCACGTGTCTGTGTGCCTGTCTTGGTGTGAACAGACCGAGGGACTGAGCTCCCGCCAGAGACTGAGCCGCACACGGGCTGCTCACGCGTGGGGGAAGTGGGGGGCCCAGTGGCAGAGGGCTCTGTCCTCCCAAGTTTGCGTTTACGAGGCTCGTGTCCAGCGATCGTCTGTCGTAGCTCAGCTGGGAATTCAAGTTAATGCGGTTTTGCTCTGTAGCGATAGGCCTTTTTTGTTTCTTTTCCCCCAAGGCAGAGTCCCAGGCCGCGGTGCAGTGGCGTCGTCATAGCTCACGGCAACCTGGGACTCCTGGGCCCAAGCGGTCCTCCCGCCTCGGCCTCCCGGAGTGCTGGGACTGCAGGCATGAGCCACCACACTGCCCGGGCTCTGTTGTGCTTTTCTTGACTGTGGGCTATAAAGTTATTGTGATTTTTCATAATTATACGTGTGATTATAGACACAAATACAGCCCGTGCTTCTCGTGTTTTGTTTTACGGCAGCGTGTAGAGTTTCACTAATTGCACGTGGTTTTCCCCCGAAGCACGGTTTCTTTTAAAATAACGGTATTTGCTATATAATCTCAAAGGAAAACAGCAAAGCTTTAAATACTTGCTTTGGAAATCAGCTGCTTTGCAAGTCAGAGTCGTTAAGGGCACAGCGCCGCACCCTGGCCTGACATGATCAACGTGACGCCAGACTCGCGAAGCCTTTCGTCTGCCCAGGAGTTGCTCCGTGTCGATCGACGGAGGTGGCTCGTGGGTCTTGGCTTCCGTTCCTGTCTGTTTTATGGTCATTAGAAAATAATCTTTCACATGTTTATTATCGATAAAAATGTCCCTGCAAAGTGCAGCGGCGTCTGTGCAGAGATGGCGCGGGGAAGGCGCGTCTCGCCCGGGCGCCCGGCCCTTGGCGTCTCTCCCGTGCACCCCTCCCCGGTCCACCCTCAGCCGGTCCTCTGCTCTGTGTGGCTGCGCAGCGCTTTCCGGAGCCCCGTCTGACCACAGCCCGCTGTTCCTCCACCGCTCTGGTTAGGGCGGGTGCCTGAGGCCCCGTCCGTCCCACCCTGTGCTCCTGGGGCCCCGAGGACGCCCTGCTCCTCCCTCTGCCGCTCAGCACGACACAGGCCTCCCGGGAGGGCTGCAGGCGTCTGCGTGGGGAGCAGCCTCTGTAGCCCGTGTGGCAGGGGCCAGGCGTGAGCCCCCGCCTTGGTCCTCGGGCAGCGGCGTGGACGCTCCCGCGGCGGGTGCAGGCTGGCTTGTGCGCTGTTTCCGGGGACGGCAGAATCTTACGGGGCATGTGCCGGCTTTGGCGGAGATGCCCACGGTTTTGGGTCTCCTGTATTTGACGTAGGAAGAGGAGGGGTGAGAGCCGAGAGTGTGGGCGCGAGCGCGGCTGGCGCAGGAAGCCTCTGCCCTGGCCGGGCTCACGCGGCCTCTCGTCCCCTCCTGGTTTCAGTGAAGCGCTACGTCCGCAAAGGTGTCCCGCTGGAGCACCGCGCCCGCGTCTGGATGGCGCTGAGTGGAGCCCAGGCCCAGATGGACCAGAACCCCGGCTACTACCACCGCCTGCTCCAGGGAGAGGGGGACCCCGGCCTGGAGGAAGCCGTCAGCACAGGTGAGGGGCGCAGCGGGGGGGCTGTTCCACCTGGCTCTGGAGCCGCGAGGCCGAGGAAGCAACTCGTGTTGTCGACGCGGCAACTGTAATTTGCGATCATAGGAAGAGTCCACACTGAAGTGTTCGTGAGGGGCCAACGTTTTTAATTCACTCAGCAAACGTTTGAGTGACCAGCCAGCTAATAAGGGAAACGGGCCCGGGCGCGGCGGCTCACGCCTGTGATCCCAGCGCTCTGGGAGGCCGGGGCGGGAGGATCGCTCGAGGCCAGGAGTCCAAGACCAGCCTGGGCAACGTATCGAGACCTCGTCGTTACAAAAAGTTTGAGAACAAAGTGAAACGAAGGCGAGGTTTCCCCCAGAGGAGTCTCAGGAGAGCGAGAAAGGCCTCGAGCTGCGTGCGCAGGGCGGCCGCTGTGAGGGCTGGCGGAGGCAGCGCGTGGTTCCTGAGGCCGCGTGGTTCCTGAGGCCGCGTGCCAGGCTTCCTTTCTGTGCCAGACTATCGTGACGGCCGGGGATGCTGCTGGTTCCGCCTCTGGTGTCCTCGTCCTCCGGTTCTCACGCAGGCGTGGAGTCGCCCGCTCTCAAAAGTTCACGGTGCTAAAAAAAAGTTTGACCTAAATTGAATGATTAGGTATTTAGTAAATACGTCTGCCCTTCCTGCGTTCGTGGTTTTTGAGAAATGTACATTGAAACACATAATGTTCAATTTTTGGGTTTCCTTTCAGTGCTGAGCAGCTGGGGTGACCTCTGAGGGGGACGTGGCATGTCCCTGGGACCCGGGGCTGCGTGTCCGGCTGCGCCAGCAGGGAGGGGCTTCCCCAGGGGCAGCGGGCGGTACGTGGCTGGCTGCGTCTGGTTCACGGCGCCGTCGCGGCCAGAAGTCTCGGGACAGAAGAGGACCCGGGGAGCGTCACTCACGGGGGGGGGGGGGGCGCGAGGCCGCGTGCGTCAAACAATGTCGCCGCTTGGACCATGAGTCTGAAGGTTCTGTTTGGTGTGATTTTGGAGGAATTTTTCTTAATTGTAAAATGTACAGAACTAAATTGGCCGTTTCATCTTCCCAAACTAAAACTCTGTCCCCATTAAACAACAGGCCATCCTGGCGGCCTCTGCTTTCCGTCTCTGCGTTCGATCCCTCCGGGGCCTCGTGCGAGAAGGGTCCCGTGGTGTGTCCGTTTGTACCGGGCTTGCATCACTCAGCGCGACGTCCCCAGGTCCTGGTGTCGGTCTGTGTCACGACGTCCCCCTTGGCGGCCGAGTTACGTTCCGTGGTGTCTGGACCACGTCCGTTCACCCGTGTCCAGGGGACTGGCGGGTTCTCACGCCTGGCTGCTGTGCGCGTCCGTCTCAGCCGCTCGGCCCGCAGGGCGCCCAAAGGCAGGTTGCGGCCACAGGGTCAAGAACGTAGGCGGGAGCCCACCCGCCCTGCAGCCTCTCCTTGCCCCAAGAATGACGTCACCAGACGTGGGGAAACTTCTCATGTGACAGATGCCACCTAGGAGTGGGCGCAGCTGGTCACTCTGGTCTGAAGTAGCAAAAACACTCGTTTCCCGCAGCTGATTGCTTTGTTTGGAGCGTTCAGAATTCCAGGGGAAAAGTCTCTCTTGTAAAAAGCACACAGAGGAACCATGTGCCCTGAGGCACCGAGCTCAGCGCTCTGCCCACATCTGGCTTTTCGTGAGCGAGGACGGGGTCGGGCTGAGGCTGGGAACAGCGTGGCAGGTGCGTGTTCTGCGGCCGCCGTGGGGAGCTCTGTGCCGGAGGAGACGGGTGTCGTTGGGCGCAGAGGGTGTCAGGGCCGGGGTTGCCGTGTGCCCTGTCTCGGCACGTTCATAAAAGCATCTTTGTGTGTGGCGCTGGGCAGACAGCCGTGAGCAGCGGTGGAGTCGGAAAACGGCGCGGTGGCTCAGGGTGACGGCGTCCTCCTCGTCCTGCCCGCGTGCGGGAACGCGGGAACCTCGGCTCCCGCAGGCTGTGGCGCAGGGCGGGGCGTGGCTTGGTCAGCCTCGTGACCCACACGCCTCTGGTTTCCCCGCACAGGACGGCGTGGCCGGGGCCGCCATTGGGCTAAGCGGTGCCCGGGCGGGATGGCTGGGGGGAGGGCGCCGGCGGGGAGGCGGGTGTCTGCGGGGGAGGCTGCAGGGAGGCGACCTACGCGCCAGCCGGCGACCGAGCTTACTTCGTGCTTGGCGTTCGCTTTAGACCGGCGACCTCCGCAAAGGCGTCTGGCTGTGTTCTGCGTCCTCACGTCTCTGATCTTCAGGATGGGGGAACCCCCAGAGCTCCCACCTATCCTCCCTGCTGCTGAGCCGGCTCCTCCTTAGCCCAGAGACGGCCGCCTGCCACCCCGACGTGGAGGGGGCGGTGGGGCCCCCCTGTGCCCCCAGGGCCGCCCCTCCCGCCTGGCCCAGTGAGCCCCTCGGCCCGGCGGTGTGGTCTGGTGCGTGTCGCGCGTGAGAAGGAGCGGCCTGTCGGGCCTTTCTGGGGTGATTCAAACGTGCAGCTGGGTTGAATCCGCTCTTTGGATTCCGTCAGAGCCCACGTGCCACTCGGCGGCCGCGGAAGGGGTTTGCGGCGTCGTGGAGCTGCCGCCTCTGGGTAATTCTCGCTCGTGAATTTCCCTGCAGACCTGAACCGGACCTTCCCAGACAACGTGAGATTCCGGAAGACGGCAGAGCCCTGTCTGCAGAAGGCCCTGTACAACGTGCTGGTGGCCTACGGGCGGCACGACCGCGGCGTGGGGTACTGCCAGGTGAGCCCGCTGCTCGGGAAGGAGACGGCGCGCCGCGAGCTCGCGGCAGGGACGCCCTCCGGGTCCAGGCCAGGTCTTCGCGGTCAGCGCACTCGCGAGCCCCCTGGGTTGCAGCGCCTCGCGGAAGGCCCTGCCTCTGTTTTCCCGGGAAAGCAGGGACAGCAACGGGATGGCTTCTCTGGGTGTGGGCGGGAGTCGGCAGGCGGGAACTGGATTAAGTTGTGGGACCCAGGTTGCCTCCTGCGGACCACGTGTGGGCACGTGTGTGCAGGCGTGTGCTGGGGCAGGCGCCACCTCCTTTGAGGCCATCTCTGGGTGTCGGTGCCCCCGCGCTGTGCGGTGCCAGGTGCGTTTGGGAAGAGCCGTTTCTCACCCCTGTGAAGCCGCCTCCCTGGTGCGTGTCTAAGGAACTCTTTTGTCCACGACCGTGGCGGGAAGAAGAGCCAGACTTAGCCGTGCGGTCTGCCTCTCCCGTGTGTGTGCATGCACACGTGTGATACCCGGACTTGTCTGCGCGACGTGCTGTTCCCGTGTCCGAGGGAGCAGGGGTGGCCCGTGAGTCCAGGGCCGCCGCAGCGCAGTGGGTGCGAGAGCCCGGCCCGTGCGAGGGTTTCCAGGACAGCGCGCGGCCTGTGACTGCCTGTGACGCGTGCGGGCGCCAGATGCTGGGAGCGCTGAGCCCACGCGGCCGCAGGGCTGGAGAGCGGCTAGCCCTGCCCCCACTTCGCGGGCTCCCGGGGCGGAGGCTGGGCTAAGGTCAGGAGGACAGTGAAGGAAATGTGGGCAGTTTCCTTCTGACAGCGAAGGTGACCCTTCTGGAAACACGGCGTGAAAGCCCGCAGTCAGAACGCCTGGCTCCCTGCGTGCGATTTGAACGGACGTTCGTGCGCAGGTCGGGTGGGTTTGGCGGTTTGAGGTCCCCCTGCGCGGCCGTGGCGTTGCCTTTGGGGATGGGAGGAAGCCCACCGTGGGAGACCAGCTGCAGAGCCGCGAGCTGGTGCGCCGGCCGCTTGCCCGGAAAGCGCATCAGGCTGCCTTCCCCTCGCTCCGCTGCACGTGGGCGGCTCTCACGTCTGCGCGAAGCTGGGTGCATCCCTCCTCCGCTCACCGGATTCCTGTCGCTCTCAGCTTTTGCTCCTGTCGTTACCTTGCCGTCCAGGAGCGGGAACTTGGCCTGTGGGAGATGAGGCAGGATTGCCGGGCACCTGTTCTCAGATCATGTGCCGTCCTTTTGGGTTTTAGCAAATAGCTCTATTTTAAAAACACTCACGTAGCCAGGCGGGGTGGTGCGCGCCTGCAGTCCAGCCACTCTGGAGGCCGAGGCCGGAGGATCACTTGAGTCCAGGAGTTCAGGCCCAGCCTGGGCAGCACAGTGAGACCCATTTGTAAACACACACACACGATTTTTATACTAGCATGAGGCCAGAGCTCTACTGGCTTTCGGAACGTACAGGTAGACACACAGACGTGTGTGGGTGTACGCGTTGTGCCCGTTTCCTGCGGTGCTGTAGCAGGACCACAGCCCGGGGGCTTGAACAGCAGAGGGGGTTCTCGGTGCTGGAGGCAGGAAGTCTGAGACCGGGGGCAGGGCCTGCTCCGGCCCCTGCGGCTCCTGGTGGTTTCCCACCGTCACCCTGATCTCTGCCACCGTGGCCTCCCCGTGTGTGTCTGTGTCCACGCCTCCCCTTCTCTGAGGACACCGGGCCTGCTGGGTTGGCCCCCCAGCTACACTGCGCCCGCGTCTGAAACTGCACCTGCGCCGGTCCCCTCCCGAGCGCGGCCCCGTCCTCTCCAGCGTGAGCGTCTGGGGTGGGGGACACAGCCCGACCCAGGGCGCGCGTGCCGAGCCGCGTGCTGCACACACGACCCCGGTTCTGCTTCCTCTCTCCTGGGGTCCGCTCTGATGGCAAGACCCGCCAGTCGCGATGATGCGATCTCCACACGGGCTGCTCTGGGCGTCTGTGTGGCGACGAGGGTTGAATTTTTCAGAAGCCAGCGGCGAGTTGTGTCGCGTTATCGCGAGGCTACCGTCGGGCCGAGAGGTGGTCTTTGGTTTTGGTTTTCCGAGGCAGCGTTCAGAAGGGTTTCCTTTAACTCTTCCCTTTTGCTTTTTTCCGCGTAGGCGTGCTAAGCGCACTGTCAGATGGCAGGTCCTTAGTCTCTCTGAAATTCCGAAAGATCGTTCTAGAATTAGCAAGTTTTAGGGGAGAGCAAGAGATGGACACTCGGCAGCCAGGCAACTGCAGAACCGTGCGGCGGTCTGCAACTCAGTGTGGATTTCGGCTTCTCTGTTTCTACTTCCAGGGAATGAACTTCATAGCAGGGTACCTGATTCTGGTCACGAAGGACGAAGAGGAGTCGTTCTGGCTGCTAGACGCGCTCGTCGGGAGGATTCTGCCCGGTACGTCGGGGCCCTGCCGGCAGCCCGAGCCCCCCGTGTCTGGCGCTACCAAAGTGGTTCTGCTGACAAGTCGAGATTTAATTAGGACACAATTAAATCGTTTGGGAGTCGAGATTAAAAAATGTCTCTCTGCCGTTGAGTTAAAGAGAAGCATGTCTTGTGGCTGGGTCCCAGCTGCGGCGGCTGGTCCCTGCCGGCCCGGGGACCCCCGCCCTCCGCGTCGGAGCCCGGCCGGGCCGTGTTGTAGTTGGTGTCGATCAGGTTGGTGTCGATCACAGGGTCTCTGAGGGTGAACTCGGTTTCGCATCTGCATTTGGTGCTGAGTTCCTGAGTCCCGGTGAGAGCGTGGCAGTGGTCGGCCGTGATTGCTTTTTAAGGTGAAAATCATTCGTTTCAAGTCTTTCCACTTTTCCATTTATTAGCAAATATGTAGTTAGATGAAAATTAACCACGTGTTTATTAGTAAACGAACTAAGCCCCAGTTTCAGTAGAGCACGGTGCAGGCCGACCTGCGGCGTGAGGTCACTCGGACACACGTGGCCAGAGCCGTCCGGCGGGGAGGGCAGGGCAGGGCAGAGAGACCCTGCCTTCCCCACCCTGGCCGTGGGCCGGGTCGGGGGCCAGGGGCTGGGCCTGCGGGGCAGCGGCAGCCCGGCTGGTCCCGGTGCTGAGGACGGGGGAGGGGAGCCGGCCGAGACCCTATGGGAGAAGAGCTGACTTTGCAGCGGTGGCAGGGGCTGGAGGGCGGGAGGGATCCGGCTGCCCCGCCCAGCACCATGCAGGCCTGGGGCGGGGGGGAGGCGGGACATTAGAGGAACCGGTGTCGGGAGACTTTCCAGACGCGGTGCAGCCGGAGGTTGCAGACAGCTTAGTTGTGTTCAGAGACTGAACTGTGGCGAGTCCCTAAAGCTGCCATCAGTTCTGTTCTCTCTGACAAGCGTTCGTAGAAGACCCATCGTGCTCCAGGCTCTGTTCTCAGGGTTTGGAAAAGTCCCTGTCATCGTGGAGTCCCCTGGCGGCAAGAGGACAGGCGTGGACGTGGACGACGGCACCGCACTGGGTAGTAGGGTGTGTCGGGCATCGAAGGCTTCAGGTGCCGACCCAAGAACACAAACTGCGCAAAGCTCCAGATTCCCAAAGTGGTAGCAAATGTACAGACTTGTCCTTTTGGCCGTAAAATGCCGTTTCTTACGTTAGTTGTTAGATCCAGTTGAACCAAACGGGTCTTGATTCAAAACCAAAAGAAGGCCGGCGCGGTGGCTCACGCCTGGGATCCCAGCACTTTGGGAGGCCAAGGCAGGAGGAGGATCCCTTGAGCCCAAGAGTTCGAGACCAGCCTGGGCAACACGGTGAGACCCCATCTGTACAAAAAATAAGGAGAATTGGCCAGGTGTGGTGGCGTCTGTGGTCCCAGCTACTGAGGAGGCCACAGTGGGAGGATGGCTCGAGCCCAGGAGCTTGAGGCTGCAGTGAGCTGTGATGACGCCGCTGCACTCCAGCCAGGGGGACAGGGCGAGACCTTGTCTCAACAAAAGGAAGAATCAAACTAAAATGTTAGGACTGTGGGAGAAAAAGGGATTTTTCTTACCATTTCCAAGCTCTCCAGATGGCAGAGAAAAGAGGCAAACACGTGTCGCTCTCTAAATCCTGGTTACCCAAACTGGGTCATTTCAGTGCCATAATTATCCTGCTTTTCACTGTTTTTTAAAGTTGTACAAGAGATACGCAGATGCATTCTCGTTTCCAAAGTTCGAGAAATGCAGTATCAATGACAGTAGGAGGTGACGGTCCCTCAGTGACGAGCCTCCCACTCCTCCCCTACTGAGAGGGAACCACGTAGGTGTTTCCAGGGCGTTTCGTACCTACATAAACACGAGAGTGAAAATCGATGACGTAGAAAACAGGCAGAGGAAAAGGTGAACTGAGACAAAACCTGTTCTCTGGGAAAACTGGTGACACAGACACGCCCGTCAGCACCGGTGAGAAGGTCGGTGCAGTGAGGTGAAAAGGTGTGTGGTTTGGAGATTTGTGGGGATTTCCAAGAATCACAAGAAAATACAAAGACAGTGGGACAGAAGTGGACAGTTTTGAGAAGAACGTGGCCTCACGGAGCTGACCCAGGACAAGAGGACGTCTGAGCAAGCGTATTTGCGGACATGCTTGTTTTCGCCGCCGTCAGACCGTGAAGGAACAGGCGACTCCTGTTTGCCACGTAATCTTCCAGAACATAGAAAAGGTAAGTGCACCGACGCACACTGGGAAGCCAGCGCCCCTGAGGGCACGGTGCGCCTCCCTCCGACCAGCGCAGGTCTGCAAACCCCGCGTAAAGCCACATCAGGGGCCGGACTCTGGAGGTGTTCGCCAGCGTCACTGTGTCCCGGGAGTGCGAGGACGGCGCGATCACGTGGCGGAGTCAAGGGCCCGGCAGGACCAGCGCTTGGAGGACGGTACCAGAGACCGGCCAGGCGCCGTGATAATGGAACCGCGTGGCGCCGGGCGCTGGGCGGACACACAGGCCAGTGGGACAGAACCGAGAAGCCAGAGATCGACCCTCTGTGGATCAGTGGCGTGTCTTTGTGAGACACACTGATTCTCGGGGAGGGGACCGTTTAGAGTGTCGTCCTGTGTGAAACAAAGACCCTTCTTGCAGCTCCAGGTGGGTTCAGACTCAAACGTGGCAAAGCCGAGGTTTCAGACTCGGGTAGTGAGTCGCAAAGTGGTCGTTGATGCCGGGACAGGGAGAGAGCCCCGAGCACAACTCAGAAAGGATAAAGACGTCGATGCTTTTACTCACGTAACGGTTAAATGCGGTTTCGGTAAGAGGCGTCACAAGCAAAGCAAAGAGGAGCCGCAGGTCTGGAGGAGGCGCCTTCGATGCGTGTAACCAACCGAGGGTTGGCGTCTGGGTCCTTAGGAAAAGCAGAGGGTCTGGGCCAAGGGGCTTTCCCGCTGGAGGAGACTTTGCCGGTCTGGAGCGGACCCTGGAGATGCTCTTTTCTAAGTGCCGCCTGCATTTCGGGGCAGATGCGAGGTTGACTGTGAACCGCAGGCTCGTGGGAGAAAAGCGCCGTGATTTCCTCTCACTGAGTGGACACAACTTCGTTGACTTCACGGGTATTTTCAGGCTGTCGCGATACCATTTTATTGCTAAGCAAGTGGAGTGTGACTTTGCGTTAAAGCAAACCTGGTCAGCCTAAACTCGTCGGCAGAATCGCAGTTCAACGTGCCGCGTGGAGAGCGGTGGGGTGTTTCATTTGCTGCCTTCTTGTCGCTCCGACAGCAGTTGTGAGGCTGTCGACAGGGTGATCAGAGCCGCCTGCAGACTGGCGTGCGTGTCCCGCCTCGCAGACGGAAGCCAGCCTTGGAGACACGCCCTCGGCTGGCTCCGTGTGATAAAATTCTGTTTGTCTAGTTCCCTTCCGGTAACTTCCTGGTGTGTGAGCTGTGAGGAGCCACGGCCTTGTTTCATTGTGTGTGTTTATGTGTGTACATGTATGCATGTGTGCATGTTTGTGTCTGCATTTGTGTGTGCACGGGTGTTTGTGTGTATGTGTGCGTTTGTGCATTGTGTATGTGTGCGTACGTACATGTGCATTTGCGTGTGCATGAGTGTAGGTGTCTGCATGTCAGTTTGCATGTGCATTTGTGCGCATGTGAGTGCATTGCATGCATGTGCATGTGTGAGTGCCTTATGTGTGTGCATGTGTGCGTTTGTGTGTGTGCACTGCATGTGTACGTTTGTGCACTGCATGTGTACATGTGTGCATGCATGCGCAAATGTGTGTATGTGCATTTGTGCGTGCATGTGTGTACGTGTGTGCCTTGCGTGCACATGCATGAGTGCATGCATGTATGTGCACACGTGCGTGCGTGTGCATTTCGTGTGTAGATGTGTGCGTATGAGTGTGTTTAGAACGTATTTTGAAAAGCTTCAGCCACAGCAAGTTCTGGATCTGTCCAGGCAGGGGCGTGCCTTGCAGACGTGTGCTGGGAAGAGGAGTGAGGATTGATGTTTAACCCTTAGCGGGCGTTCCACCCGTGCACAGAACAGCACACGCCAGCTGGAGACCCTGTGTGTGGCGGTGCCTCCTCGTTACCTGTCCCGGCATCTGGAAGGTCGTGGAGGCTGCGTGGGGCCTCGCCGCACTTCTTGCAGCCCGGTCCCCTGTCCTGCAGGGACCGCTGCACGGTCCTGGGAGGGTGCCGGGTGCTTGGCCCCCGCTCGCCAGCCATCAGGTGCTCGCGGTGCCGCCGTGGGGACGGCTCTCCTGGGGCTCAGGACAGGAGGGCGGACGCGAGCGCCAGTGCGGGACGGTGCCGTGGCTCAGTGTGAGCTGCAGAGCGGAGGGCGCTTGCATGGCTAGTGTGGGGTGCGCCCAGCGGGCGGCCACAAAGCCAGCACCCCCACCGCGGTGGCCTCCCCCTGCTGTGGCCCCATGATGACGACGGCGGGTGCAGGCGGACAGTCCTGGCCTCAGGGCTCGGTCCGAGTCTGTCCTTCCAGGGCCCAGGGTCGCAGGCACCTTCCTTCCGGGAGGATTCGGGGTTTGATCTCCCTCCTAGAGGCAAGGAACCATTTGCAGATTTTCTTTTTCTTTCTTTCTTTTTTTTGAGATAGGGTCTTGCTCCGTCACCTGGGCTGGAGCGCAGTGGCGTCATCGTAGCTCACTGCAACCTCCAACTCCTGGCCTCAAGTGATGCTCCTGCCTCAGCCTCCCAGGGTGCTGGGACTACAGGTGCGAGCTGGCCCCTATCTTGCCTTTTTTTTTTAAAAAACAAATCCATCTTTTTGTCATTACTAAACTGATAGGTTTGGGAATTACCAAAATATACAGAAGCTTAAAGGGAAAAACAGAAATCTTTTTTCACTACTTGATCTCTTTTGAAATCGTGTTTATTTTCTTTGCTGTCTGATGAGTTAATTACCTCTCAAGCTCTCTCTGGGGAACTGGAGGCAGGTAGACCCTGCGGACGCGCCCGCCCTCCTCTGGCCGCCCCAG